AGCAAAATCAGTACCTTAGTAAGATATAAAATCCTTTGTTATGCCTAAAATCTTTGGAAACATATTTTTTAAAGTTGGTGAAACTTCATAAGCATGTCTATTTATTGTTATGGAGATCACACAAAGTAGATTAGTGTTCCCTTTTTCTAAAAGCAATGATATTGTTATGAACACAGTAAACCTCTGTGACTGATTAATTTAAAATAACATCTTTGTTTCAGTGATTTAAATATGTAGTAATCTGGAATGATTACTTTATGAAGGCTTAAGAGTACATTTAAAATATAAAATCACCTTAGAAATACTGATTAAGAAAAAGTAAAACAGAGAAGAGCTGCATCATGCATTCCATAATATTTAATGTTGTATTCAGCAGGACAGATGACTTGCTCTTACTGCAAATTTTTGCAAATAAATCTCTGACAAACTTCAGGGTATATCAAAATACCTGTGACTGACATTTTTTATTCCCAAGTTTAGTGCTTTTAATTAGGTACCTTCTGCATGTCCAGTCTTCACCATCTGGCATGCAGTGGAAAACATGCTCCATTTTCTTTTGAAAAAAACACTCTTCTGCAATTTATTTCTAATGTCATTTGCTTCATTTGGGTCAGGTATTTGGCTGGAAGGGGGTGAGCAGGGACGGGGAGGGAAGAGAGGAGGGAGACAGTGGGGAGAGGGTGGGGCCTGGGCAGAATGGTGGCGGGGTCTGGGGCAGAGCAGGGGTGAAGTATGGACAGGGCCACAGGCAGAAGAGTTGGGCTGGGGAGCTAGCCTCCCCAAGCGGCAGCTTCACCCACCGCCTATGACAGCAGGTAAAAGCGGGTCGACTCCCACACACTCAGCGTGTACTGCAGTGTCCTTAGGCAGAGGCCATATTCACAGAGCAGAATGCACTGGCACCGTGCATTCTGCGTGAGGGAGAGGGTACAGGGGTCTCTGCGGGGAACTGTGACTCTCTGCCACCGTGAGGCGGGCCAGGTGGTTTGGTATCCTTGCTGCTTCGTCCCTCCGCCCTCCCCTCCTCCCGGCTGCGAGCCCTGGCTACCGTCATCGGGCACAGGGGCACCAGTTTAATAATAGTGCATAGGGCCCCAGAAATCCTAAGGACAGTGTGCTCTCTCTCTCACACACACACACACACACACACACACACACACACACACACGGTGTGTGTCTCTGTCTCTCTCTGCTATGCTGTGTCTCCTCCCTCCATTCCTGATGCCTTGTAGAGTGTAAGGCTACATTAACGTGTTAACCCTTGAGGGCTCAGCCAAGTGCTAGTTCATCAATTAGCAGTAAGGCATCCCCTGGGAAATATCACATCCTCTTCCACCCTCTGACTCCACCACCTCAACCAAGCTTCACAATCATCATTGCTGTGTACAATATTAAATTGTTTGTTTAAAACTTCCACTGTGTATATGTCTCTCTCTCTCTATATATATATATGTAGTCTTTTGTCTGGCGAAAAAAATTTCCCTGGAACCTAATCCCCCTATTTACATTACTTCTTATAGGGAAATTGGATTTGTTTAACATTTTTTCGCTTAAAGTAGCATTTTTCAGGAACATAACTTCAATATTAAGTAAGAAGTTACTGTATGTGGTTTTGTGCCTCTTAACTGCTAACCAGCTAATAGAAACCATCTGTGATGTGTACAACTTGACAACTATAGCAATAAATAACATGAGGAGCTCTGCACTGAAATACACAGAGTACTTTTAAATTTTATAATAGAGATGGGAGGTCCTGGAATAGACAAGACTATTGATTTTTGTCCATGGTAGTAACGTTAATGTGAGAAATGTATCATGATAATATTATAATTATTGTTCTACTCTCACTGACCATAGCTATCTAAAGAGTGCTGCTTGTTTGCCTATGGCTATCCCCAGATTCCCCTGCTTTATAATTACAATTGTCAGACAGCTGGATCCAGCTGCCACCTGAAATAATTAAAGTAAAGATGGATGAACAAATATTCCAGTATAATTTGTCTTTTACAAACTATAATGTAGATCAAACTTCACCATTAAACAGAACTTATGGCCACATTGCTTCACAGGCGGAGGCATACTGTGTGTACTGGATGAAGAGTACCAGTTAACCTCCACCACAGTCCCAGCATATGCAATTGTATGTGATGAGGGTAGCTACCTGATGCCCTTCAGCCCCAGACCCTGCCAAGTCACCTCAACCTCAAGTCAGGAGGTTCACCAGATACAGTGATGGAACCAGGTAAATCTGACTCCATACTTGTTTACAATTTCTGCAAACAACTTGCAAAGGTAAGTAAACAAAGGTCCATAGAGTTTGCCTGCAGAACTGTAAAATGTTGAATATGAAAAATGATGATCTGGAAGAGGAATTG